TGATCATGAAATTCATGAATAATCTCTTTAGAGAATACTTCCTAATTACCTTCCTTGTAGCCTTCTAAGGTCTTCATCCATTCTCCAATCCATGTAACACAGTACCTAGCCAACCATTCAATAATGTTCTTAGGGTCAATTACCCCATGATCCTTGCACATTTGATAAAACCTTTCAATAAACAAGGTAGCATCTCTGCCATCAAACCAAGGTGCATTTGCCGTGCCAGGGGAAGGCATAGGAATGTGGGAGTGAACCACAATTCTCCTGTCTTCACCTTGTGACATAGTCGCGTATGATCCTGTAGTACCTTCAACCATAGTTGATTCTGATCCTGATTTCTTGATTTCTTGATCTTTGGTCATGTCACACAGTATGTTCTGTTGTTTCTCAATGATTCAATATCTTTCCAAAAAAACCTATTTATCAGGCAAGCTTTAGATAAGAGCCATTCAAATCTAAGCTCCCTAACCTTGTTCCTAAACAAAAACCTGATTAGTACTGTATTCCTAGTCCATAAGATCTTACCTTGAAATAGTGTATTGCTTCATGTGTCTCAGAATTTGTTTTTCTTCCTTGGCAGCCACCAAATCACTGCATCATCATCTTCAGGTCTCAGCTTGGTCACCAAATGAAGCAGGGTATGATGGGATGCCTTGTCAAAGTAGGCAAGTTGGTTGAGATGGTGAGAGTGCAAGAAGGATGAAAAATCACAACATAGTAAGGATGGTAATGGCCAAGTAGTAAGAACAGAGAAGCATGCCTTAACAGACGCCTAAGCTCATAAGGAATAATAGTACTAAAGAGCCTGTACTAACACGGGCAGCTCTAATGAGGAACAGTGGCAAGCTTCATGAACAAGAGATCTTCATATTCTCTAACTAATAACCAAACTAGCAATAAAGAATGAGTGTGTGGAAAAGTACAAAGGTGCGCGAAGGTATTGAGTGAGATGCAGGGGCTATGGGTGGTTTATATAGCTCAGAGATAGTAGCTGGGGGGGTTTTGCGCCTCGGACCGGAACAACCTTTGTCCTAATATGGTACCGGAATCCCCACTACACTACCAGCATTTTTACTGCAGTACCACTTGAAGAAAGTAATGATCAGACAGAATCTGATCAAATATAACTGAAAGTTCTGTAAACTAGCCAGAACATATATTCATCACTGCTGTGGAACTATCTTCTTTATAAAGAAGAAACAACCTGTGTGAGTCAATATTAACAGCTGTGTTGAAATTAATGCTTTGTTCTTTTATAAGATGATGCCAAACTATTCTTGCTCACACATTGAGAAGTCTCAGTTTATGGAAATTGATTTAGATAGAGCTTTTTGAATTGACTTTACTGATCAAGTCCAGAGAGAGAAGAAGCAAGTAAAGTATGATAATGTGGGAGACAGCAACATAAATAATGAGAATTATCTGATATGCTATCCCACTGTCTCTAGCTTTAGTTTTACTGATAATACTTTTTGTAAGACTTGTCAATTCTTTTTCTGATGCAAGCACTAATTTGATTCTAAATAAGTTTGCTGTTGATAACATCAATAAAATTAAATAATTATTGACTCTCTTTGGGAACTTGACAATTCCAGATGAGCAGAGATTAACTTTTATAACACTTGCAAAGACACAGATGAGTGTGACTTCCACTTTCTTATTTGATGATTTTGTTGCAGGCAAGAGATATAATCTGAATATTCTTTTGTAGTATGTTCTGACAGTCTTCAATTAGTTTCTCTGCTAACAGACATGGTGGCCTGCTGAATGTAAGTAAGACTCTGATAACTGAAGCTATAGCTGAGAATTTTGAGTAATCTCTTTATCTAATAAGCTCAGCTTTAATTAAAAGTTAATAATTTCTGCTAATGTTTCAGATTTCTGCTGTGTAACTAGTCACCCAATTCAATAGACTTGAGAACAATCTCACAAGAATATTTTAAATTACTAAATGTTTTGATGCTCTTCTTCTTCTAGATAAAGCTGACATGTTTCTTGAGCATTATATATCTGTCAACATATTAAAGAACACTATTGTTACCATATTTCTTTGCAAACTGGAATACTTTCAAGAAATCTTCTTTCTCACAACCAACTGTAAGACAGAATTTAACAAGACAATCTTTAGCAAGATTTATTTGAAGATTAAATATCTAAATCTGAGTCAACAGTAATAAAAGATAATATAAAAGCATTTTGTCTCCTGAGCATATACATATTAAGAATCTGCAGCAATAAGTAATCAGAATCTGAATCAGTTAGCAACTTCAGATCTTAACAGCTGAGAGATATAGCTTTGAACCCCTTTCAATTCAGCCCTTGCTAATATTGTCTCAGATCAAGAACCTGATGTCTATTGCACATGCTCTTGCCACTGTAGATCATATCTGTATTAGCTATAAGTACATCAAGTGAGCATCAATGTCAAACAAAGATTACTCTCATGAATTTGATCAAGTTAAGATCAATGGCATGTACACCTAGTTTGCTTGATCTTGAAAAGGCTTTTGAGTCTCAGGTCTAATATTTTCTTGCTTCAAATACAATGCAAGTTCTTGTTCTGAATTTATGTCATTTGAATCAATGTTCTTGGACTCTTGTGCCAAAACCACACCATGTATGGTCTCTCTACACATAACATGGGTGCCACTCTGAACGAACAACCTTGCCCAAATCAACATTGCTGAATCGGACGTTACAACCATTGGAGTAGAGTTTCCCAAATTATCAGTGTTGGTAGACCAGCTAGAAAATTTTAAATGGATACATGATAGATCACAAACAACTAATCCCCAAGTGCACAAGAAGGCCGTTCCGTCAGCCTGCAGAAGAATGCGTACGCCAAAATCATGAGTTGAAACCAGCCTTCTGTTGCCAAACTGGGGTCGAACCTGAGGTAGGTGAGTTGCCTAAAGAGGCATGATTTTCTGGTTGTATCATACACTAGGCCCACTTTCGCACGGAATGGAACATCTTTTATCCACTAGATCACCAAGATTTCGCCATCTCCATTTCGTCCTCCACCTCGTCCTCGTCCTCCATCTCGTCCTCCATCTCGTCCTCCACCTAGCCCCCCCCACATCTCATCCCCCATCTCGTCCTCCTTCAACCATGGTTTCACAAATGAAACTGTGCACCCTTTGCAACAAGGAAGTTGCTGCAACAAACTTCTCTTGGCACATAATCTGTCAGTGCCCAGAGAGAAATACAGCTATCATCTGTGGGAATTGCAACAGAAGAGTCCCTCCCAATCATTCATGTGCCAGAGGAAAGAGGCGATGTTGTCCAGTCTGCCACAGGTTGAAAGATGTTAACCATATGAAGTGCCATATAGATTGTTGTCAGCAACACCAGACCACTTCAGGAGAATCCAATCAGCCCCTCCCTCACACAGAGCACCACAACTCATCAGAATTAGTTGCACTCCTTGATGAAATATCCAGCCTCTAGAGTGACAGAAAATTCCCTGAATGTGAACTTGACAATCTTGAGTTACTTGTTAATGGGCAGGATCTACATTGGACAAGACCTGCTTTAATACCAATATCTGAAGTCTGAGATAAGCAGTTCTTACTGCTTGATATATTTGATGCTGTATGTTCCAGTACAAAGAAATTATCTCTAAACTGTATCTACAGAGATGGTGAATCTGTTACAGAAGCAGAACAGAAATAAAATATTAGCAATATCTTCTATCAAGCAGACATCTCTCTTCATAATTCTGATCTTTTGATAAAATTCTGCTTGATGAATATCCCTCTTTCAGGAAAGTTTCACTGCCTTTGGCCCTGCCAAGTGCTTAGAAATCAGCTTAGAATTACATCTGATTATAATCTTAATCTCCTGGCCAATTTCATGCCTGCTGGGACCTTTATTGATATTCACCTTGATTTATGGAAACTCTTCTTAATTAATGGGTAAACAGCTGCCTGACTTGAAGCAGATCAGAATTAGCATGACTTATCTTAGTCTGTAAAGTACTCTGAGTATATATGGCTTCTGTATTTACCAACAAAAGAGAATCTTAGTGTATTTGTACAGTTCTCTGGGAAATCAGACTGTCTCTCCAAAATCTCAGACAAACTTGTGAAAGATTGCATCATATATATTAATTCTTTCAGAGTTGTCTATCTTTTCTCTGACTGATTACATGTCATCTTCACAATTAAATCTGAAGCACTGGTTGGGATCAACTTTAAATCTCTGAAGGGCCTAAAGATTATGGCCTGGAGTGTTGCCATACATCTTCTATATATATACTGAGTTCCTCAGGCAGTGCTAGAAGATTTCAGTGAATATACCAAAGTCATATTGTTCTTTCTTGATAATAAACATGACTCTTAAATCATCACAACTGTGCTCAAGAGCTAGGTGGGTCTTTTAAAAGATTTGTCAGATATTTAACAGTATGTGAGTTTTCAGTCAGCAGTGCTTGTTTTTCTTGATGATTTAAAAAAGAGATTATTACAGAAAGAGACATAATGCTGCAGAACAGCTTACAAAAATGTTCTCTGCCATGTTGCTCACACACACTGGGTGGCTGGAATGTAACTAGCAGAAAGAAACAGCAGCAGTTATAATAAAAGATGGGCAGAAGTTGCTTTGGCATTCATGAATACTATATACATATATTATATCAGAACAATCAGACATAATCTTGTTCTGTTTCTTTGCTCTTGAAGTGTTGACTTCTTTCAAAGTGTTGACTGCCACTGGCATATAGCTGAATATGTCCTCTGTGGAAAACACTTCTCTATCTCCAGCCAGGAGCAGCACTTCTCTGTCATGCTCAGAAGACATGCATCATTCTCAGAGAACTATTATAATGACTTAGCTCCATGGCTCTGCATTTTCTTGCTGTGCCCATGCTGAGTTTGCTTAGCTATCTGATGAGAATCTGTATAAACAGCTGACTGCACACTCTTATTGTATTTATGTGTGCAGCTTGTCAAAGTATCTTTAAATAGTCAAGAAAGGAACTGCAGGTGTTTATTAAGTTATAGAGATAGAAAATAAGAATAAAGAGCAGTAAAGAAATCTTCTCTGGCAGATAATATAAAAGTAATCTGAGACTGCTTCATGCTCTGTTCTTCTAATCTCTCTACTTCTTGCTTGAGACTCTCCAACTGTTTACCAGATAAGTCTTTATCCACACTGCTAGAATATAGTGTATCAGTCCCAGTGCTTGAATGAAGAAGATATAATTGTGGATAGGTCTGGACATAAAAATCTTTATCTAATTAAGCATTATTGTCCTGGCTGTCAACCCCCTTCAGAGAATCTTAATAATAATTGGGCAGGTTGAAGAATATAGACAGAGGGGATTTGGAATATAGACAGTTTATATTCAGGATTACAGGACTGTTGTCTTGTCAGAAAGATGAGAGAAGCTCACTGGCCTTCCAGAGCCTGTTATCAGCAAGAATGGCAAGATTGATGGAAATGTTGTTGTTGTTCTGGAGAACTAGGAGCATGAGGAATTCCTCCAGGCTGCTGTTAGAGCTAGTTGTAGTTGCATCAGGTGAGGATAGACCAGGCCCTGTGGCACCTCCCTTGAGTAGAGGTGGCTCATCTGGAGGAGTGGTGGGATTCTGGGTGTTGCAGGTGGCAATTTGAGATGAACTTGGGGTAAGGTATGCTGGATCATGTGGAAATGAGAGTCCATACTCAGGGCTCTCTGAAGATAGCATGTGGGGTGGTGGTATTGATATCTCTCATGCTCAAGTTTGGGATGCTAATGGTGTACATTGCTTGGTGTTGCTGCTGAATGATACACAAACTTCAGCTGGTGGTCTTGCAGAGAGTTGATACTTGAGAACTGGCAGAGTGCTGCAGGGAGAATCATGATGAGATTTAGAGAGAGGAGAACAGCAGGCCACTGAAGAGTGTGAAGGGAGGAATCTATAGAATGAGAGTAGTTTAGAGTAAGAGGGCACCCATTGTTTGAAGTTCATGTGAAATGTAGGGTTGATCTGGGCAGGAGATGGCATATTTCACATGGGTAGAATTTTGGACGCGGGAGGTGATCAGAAACCAGAAAGGAGGCCTGGAATGGGAATCAACAAGGAAAGTGCGCGGTAGGGAAATCTGATTGTGAGGCACTGGGAATTCTGGAGCAGGGCCGGTTGGCCTTCTTATAGCGGCTCTCACTGTGTTGGCATGTGTGACGCGCTCGCTTTGCTCCCACCACCCCCAGAGGAGTGACAGGGAGAGTTCTTCTGTTCCTCAAACCTCACTTGATGCCAGCATCTCCATCCCCATCAAAATTGCGACCAGGCGCACCAGTGCAATATGCCAATCTCATTCATCTTGTTCAATCATCACAGCTTCCAAGGATCACATGTCCCACCTGCGCTCCTTGATACAGCCCCCTTAGGCTGGTTGGGAAACACATCCTGCAGCGAAAGCAATGCGGCAATTTTGCCATTGGTCAGAGAATGGAAGCATAGGCTTGCAGTCGGTCTTGGTTGGTCAGGGGTGGATGGGGGGGATAATGTAGCCATGGACACCCAGGCCCAGCTGACACGCTGGCATCAGGACACAGGGCCAAGCACTCATTCTCAGAGTCTCCAATCACTGGATGTCGCCCTTTTCCGCTCAGAGCCTCACGGGCGAGAGGCACCTCAGGAACCAGAGTGGGAGATCAGAGAGATCATAAAAACAAAGAGAAAAGCAAAGAAAAACAGAAGCAGACAGATGGCAAACACCAGCCTGCTGCTTAGAGTTGCTGATTGGGCAACAGGATGAAAACCATCATGACATGGCTGCAGAAACTCCAACTGCCTTGTTCCCAGAGCAAGCAAGGTAACACCACAAGAGGGGGCAACAAGCAACGCAGACCATCCAGGCCCATCAGAAGGGCGTTCGGCGACTCCGCGGGCACAGGGTGAAAGGGGGGCGACGGCCGGATAACACAGCATCATCCCTGCAGGGTGAGGGGGGCAGTGCATCTGGGCACAGGAAACAGGACACAGGACAAGCAAGAAAAAGAGGAAGAGAAAGTGCGTCATCATTTGAGGGAGTGTGGTTGGGTTTATATAGATCTCACGGCGGTGTTGGGGCAGCAGGAGATGGCACAAAAGCAGCAAGCCCGGTGCCATCCCCAAAGCAGCAACAGCCATGCCGCAACAGGCATAGTGCACGCTGCGGACCAATGGCGGGCCCTATCACTTCGCTTGGCGCCCCACTAACCGACACAAAGATTACTGAAAAATAAATGCACAGTGAGGGAGGAAGGTGAAGGATTTTGAAAAGTGGAATTATATGAATATGAGAGAACTGGGTGGTGCCAAAATCAGAGTTATAGCTGATGAAGAGGTATTCCTTACAATCATGGATGACTACTTCACTCCATATTACCAGCCATTGTCATGTTGGGTCAACAGGCTACAACAGATTGTGTTTCCAAACAACAGACAATGGAAGAGAACAAATTCAAAATTGGGCTTGGAAATGAGAAAAATACTTCAAGCTGCACAACACGACCCAAAGGTCATAGATTAGGATATACGCCTAATTTACTTCATCTGATACTATTGTAAATGTAGATACCTAACAGAGTTTTAGATAATTACCACGTATTCAGTGATCATTAGTACCTCGAACAGACATCACGCGGCACCACACTTCCTAGCTTGTCTTCTTGAAAATTAGACCGCGGGCTAGAGCATGAATTCCCACAAATACAAAACACAATGCCTTCCTTTCACCTTGGGCTGGGCCGTTGGCCGCGGCGGGTTGACTTCCGTGACCGACCTCTTCCATCAGCAGTTTGGCGTGGGCAGAAACCAGTGGTTGCCACTCACTCTGTGAGCTGTCTTGTCATATCTTTCCAGCGCATCCTCGTCTCAAACCTTATGAGCTTGGCAAGGTTTGGCCTCTTCAGCAACTTTGCGTGAAATTCTTCAACCAGCTGCTCACAACCGGGTAGCACATTATGGAGAGGTTCCCAGGAAGCAGCATAGCCACACCAATCAATTTTGTATTCCAGGTAGAACCTCCTGGTGTTGAAATTCCTTTGAATCCTCAAGTCCAGGATCACATCAACCAACCACTCTCTCTCCATCCTTCTGTCGTGCTTGATCAAGATTGGTGGGGGAGGGGACAGGGGGCACAACATCAGATCATTGTTTGTAAGCACTTCCATCAAATTGTCCTCTTGGGGGGAGGTAGCTGTATACACATCAGTCATGAGAGGGATAAACCAGAACTGCATTAGGCAAACCTCAATCTAATACAGGAGGCTGTTCTAGTGGCAGGCCCGCTGCAAGACTGTTTATAGACATGTTCTCAACACCACCAAGTGATGATCGCCGGCATTGGATGTGATTGCCTGAGCACCACATCTCAATACTCTCAACTGTAGAGACATCCTTGTCTAGTACTATCAGGTTGTCTGACAATGGTGTAGGAGTAAGCACCATCCATGAACATGAAAACACTGGTAAATGTACCATGGCTTCTGCCTGATCCAAAATAAGACAGATCCTGCGTGATAGCACTGGTTTCTGTCTCCACACCCAGTTCTGCTTTGATCAGAAGTGAAGTCTCAGCTTCAGAGGAATTCCTCATCAGGTCAACCTGGCCTTGAGAATGGTGATCATGAGGTTCGCGCGACAAGGTGTACTCTGAACAGTCGCCCACTGTGGTGGCGACGCAGGTAAGAAATGGAACGCCGGTCAACACCTGCAAAGGAGGTGGAGGGAATAAAGGACTTGCTGGAAGGGGTTCCACCAAAGTCTTGCCACAGTTGGTGTGTTTGCACCATTGCTTCTTCTTGTCAACAGCTGCAGGATTGTAGAACCGGAATGGATCCATTTCTATCCAGTATACACTGGCTGAGGAATCACTGATGGAGAGAACATTCAGGACAGCAGGAAGCCACCAGTATTTATTTATACACCCACAAATAGTAAACTTGGTAACCGCACAATTACCAAAACAGAAAAGGGACATCAGCACAAAGGTCAAGAATCAGCATTTTCACTGAGTTACTCAAAGGAGCAATTGCGTCTGGCTCTAAGGATCTTAAGAATAGCAGCACAGCTAGAGTTCCAACAGTTTCCTGCCAGACATCCCAAGATTCACATGTGCTGGGCATGCATGGGCTGAGCCTTTACTTGCACATTAGAAAATACTAAACTCAGTAACTGGACAACACATTACCCCACAGAATCCAAGGAGACATCAGCACAAAAGCCAGGGTTTGCCCTCCCAGCTAGAATTACCTGAAAAAGTAATTGTGTCTAACCATAGTTTTCCAGGGCAGAGTGGCGTGGCTGACATTCTAGCTGTTGTCTTGCCATCAGCATGGACAGACTTTGCATTTGCTGATCATGCATTCATATCCCAGTGAAACTCACTGCTTAACTCCCCTCCCAGCGTGTGTCTGCTGTGGCCACCCTGGAATGCATTGCCCCAGGTGACTCTAGACTTCCTGCCAGGTTTTACATGTGCCATCCAATGACAAGTGAGGGAGTGCCCAGTGGCCAATTTCCCAGCCAGAACAACATCATCATGGCCCACCAACTGTCACTGGTTGGACAAGTCTCAGATGATGGGCTGAATAGTGCAGCAATGCTTGCTGGGGGGGACCTCACCAGGAAACATCACCACCTGCTTCCAACACTGTGGCACATTGGTCATCTCTGTAGCATTGCTACTGTGGGATTTTTGTGATTAGATACAAGTAATTGCGGTTGAACACAGAAGAGCACTCCTCTCAGAAACTGCAGGGCTCTGGTCTGTGCGCCCAAGCAGTCCCTAGAGATGACCAAAGAATCTCCTCAGAAACCAAGATCTGAAACACAGAATCATAAGCCAAGTCAACCAGCCCCAATGCTAACATCAGGTGCCCGCAAATGAGATGTGGACAGGTGTCCTGGAGGTGTGAATGGGACACTATGTTGCACCAGGTCAGCCAGCACTGCCTGTGACAAATGCTATCTCCAGGGCCCGCCGGGGGGTGGGGTACCAGAACACAGGCTGGAAGGTGCATGAGGAGTGTCAAGGAAGATCAGGAAAAGGTGAGGAACAGCATAGGACCCGGAAACAGTGTTGGAATACAGCCCCGGGATGACACAAGGAGTGACAAGAGCCTGTGCAACCAAATTATCAGCATGGAAAGCATCAAGGGGAGCTGTTGAGTGCCGGAAGGCATGCAACAACATACAGCTAGCTCAGCAAGCAGGAAGACCATAGAAGATGTGGGCGTGATTTCCCTGGGGCTGGAGGAAGGGGGAGAGGGAGACAGAGTGCCAAAAGGTTCGAGCTCGCAAGCGACAGCTGAAGGTGCCTGAGGAGGGAGCAACAGGTAAAGAATGGATGAGAGTGGGTGAGTGAGCAAGTGAGTGAGGAAGATGGGAAGATCAAAAACAGTGGGATTACAGCGCCATATTTATACCCGAGAAGCAGCAACATCTGGGCGGCGGCAAGCCACTAGACCAGATCAGGGGCGGCCGGTTCCAGGGTCGCCAGGGACAATTACTGGAAGCGGAGGCCCATAAACCCAGATCTCATACCCCTTGAGGGATTATTCAGCTGTATAAAGAGAGACTACATCCAGAAAATGGACCTTATCACTCAACACAGAATAAAGAAGGAGGTGCAAGAATTTATTGCCTCCATTGATCAATCTGCTATCTGTGAGCTAGCAACATCATTCCATCTGGCGAAGAAGTGCTGTCAAATATTTGATGAAGTGAAGAAAGGTGGGTTCAATGTCTGCTTTCCAGTCAAATTTATGGATTCACCAGGTGAGAGATGGATGGTCCGAATCCCAATTCTGCCACGCTTGGCTTTTCCAGAGGAAAAGCTACGCGGTGAAATTGCTACAATGAAGTGAGTCAGGCTGTCCTTTTATCTGTCAATGCAGTTTTAAATATGCACCTAGACATTTCTTGTGGCTAACATAAATCAACCATAGATTCATTGTGGAAAAAACTACAATACCTATCCCCTGCTTACATGGATATTTAATTAAACAAGACAATCCACTTGGCCTCCCATTTATGCTGCTGGATTATGTGGAAGGAAGGTCGCTCTTCACTGTGGATATTTGCAAGCTTCCAGATCGCGAATGGTGTGAATTTTTCAGCAAACTTGGTGATATCTATATCCAGCTGTTCCAGCACCAGTTTGACTGGATTGGTGCTCCTAGGACCTCCCTGGCATACCTACTCAGATCAAGCCACGCGCTCGAAAGGCAGTCATATGTTGGATTGCACTTCAGTTCACCCAGCACAATAATCTGAGACCAGTGGCATTTGGATGTTATAGTGGCATTTAGATCATCAACAAAGCTGATATCAAGTTTTCACTTCGGGCCAGACCCCTCCAGAGGTCAGGAGGGTCACACAAGAGGCCTCCAACTGATCTTTTGAGTTGAATTGTGTGCTTCTGTAAACTCCATAAGGTTTCTGATAACATCTGCCAGCCATTTCAGCACTTCCTTTTCAACCACTGTCTCTGGCCAGTTTTTCCATCCCTTGTCTTCAGTATATAGTGGGCTATCTCCCTCTCTACATTTATCCAGGACAGCACGCGCGGTCAAATCAAGGCTGGTGATATTGCCAAAATATGCTTCAAAAAAGTTTGGGATGTCTGCATGGAGATCTCTGAGCTCCTCCTTTAACACAGTATCAACATGTTTCCAGTATTCTGTTGAGTTTGTGAAACTGCTTGTATTATGCACCAAGGGTGTTTGTTGGACGGAGAGGATGGAGTGGGGTGGGGGGGTTGCATGTGTATCACTGATAAGACTGAGAATGGTGTTCCAGATGTCAATGTCAGTCTTTTTCTGGATGATGAGCTTCACTAGTGGACAATAGCTGTCATAACTGAAGTTGTGGTTTTGAACTCTCTCAAATAAACACACCAATTCTGATGCAATATTGCGAGAGCCAATACCAGGTCAAAGCACAAGCACTACTTCCATGCCCTGTAACACAGACAGCAGTCAAGAAACTGCCATTTGACAAGCTTTGTCAAGATGACAAGGAATACCATCAGAAGATACCAGGTGTGACATGTATAAGGCCTCAATATCACCAAGTACATCGTGTAAATGGTCAAGGGAGGTGTTTAACAGGTATTGTTGAATGATGTTTCAATTTTCTTGAGAAAGGTTCACCATGTTGTAGATGAACGCTCAGCTGAAGGACCAAGATGCTACATGTTGAAAGTATCACAAGAAGCACAGAGGAATCATCACATCTGGGTAAGGAAAGCAAAAATATTGAGAGATGCTGAGGATGAATATTGAAGCCGCCCAGTATTCACTTAACTGCACGCGGGAGAAGACATTGCTGCCCTCCCCAACACACCAGCTGGGATTCCATGTGTAAGGGTATTTCATGCTACATAGAGTGGAAAAACAGTGTTCCAGTTATTTTGAATCAAGATGAGTGGACGCACTGTCCAACAAGGTTTTTGGCATTTTCTGGACATTGTTGCTGCTCTGATGGGGTCCTAGCATACTAGACATGAAGAAACCTTTGAGCAAGTGGGTTGAATCTTCAGGCATATCAATAGGGAGATAACCACATTAAATAAACCTACAGATCTGTATCATGCAACATCTGATCCAAAGTTGCTAAACTCTGTGCTCTTTTGAACTTCTAGAAGTTACAATAATGAGATGGCTGAGCACACCACTCTATTTATATGGATCATTTGTCTTCTTAATGTCTGTTTAACAACTGTGTCTTGATCAACTGTTACCTCACATAGCTTGCTGTCCCACAAATGACACCACAGTGAAGCAAAGCACCTCAATTTTGATATTGTTCTCTTCCATCATTTGGAAATGCAATCCATCATAGTATGTTGACTCACAGGACCAGTGCAAACAGCATGCCCAGGACTTGTGTTGTTTTGTTCTGGGATTCACACTCTGCGGGCTGTTCCTGAGGCTCTGGGTATTTGGCCGCCTTGGGGGGATATCATCTGAGAGTTTTGACATCAACAAAGAGGGTCCCTGATTTGTTGATGTCACCCTTGGGCTCCTTCTGATGAGCTGTGAGCAGCTTGGGTTCAACCCTACCATCATCACATGCAAGACGGAACATTACATCAAGATTGAGAAGGATGGCAAGAAGGAACAGTTAGTGATTGATGAGGTGATCAGGCAAGCACACTGTGTTGCCAGCTGGGCCACAACCTGCTGAAAGGTACATCACATGGACAAGCCGCAAACACCTCTAGTGGTCAAGGACTCATGCCAATACCCAGAACACAATAAGGAAGGGGAGCTTTTGCATGAAGCATTGGTGCATGAAGTCACCAATGTTGCACAATACTACCACCATGAGACTGTTCACGTCAACAGTAAGCCTAACAATATCATGAGTATTTGGAGAGGATTATGTATTCTGACAACAAATCAAAAGAAAACCTGTTCGAACCCTGCCCTAGGCCAGAGCCAGTCCCACCACAGACACAAAGGTTCAAGCAGTACTGCAGGGAAGAGACAGTCTTCTGACTGTGTGGACTCAGTGTTTCCCCCACTGCTGAGCAAACATACCCAGTTGAGCTCACTGACCAAGCTGATGGCCAACAATGAATCACCAAACCAAGTGCACCACCATCTTGTTGTTTGAGACTATGGGAAACTTATTTTTGAGAGTAGCTCAAGGGTTGCTTTGCTTATAGGCATGCAAGGCTGCATTGAAGAATACATGTCCCTTTACCAAAAAGCTGGCTTAATTCAAAGTGATATCTCCTCACAGAATCTCCTAGTGAACAAGAACAATGATAACCCTGCCTGGCAGTCATTTTTAATTGACCTCAACCTCACCATCAGAGTGGAACGCGACAGCTTCTCCAGGGCACAAGACAAGACTGGTACAAGGGCATTCATGGCCATCAGCATACTTTATGGTGAAATGCACTCATTCATGCACGACCTTGAATCATTTTTCTGGTTTCTCTTCTGGGTGTGCATCCATTATGATGGGCCTGGGAAGGGAAGAATTGTCCAGCAGTTTGAAGAGTGGAACTATGTGCACACAGAGAAACTTGCTAATGAAAAGAAAGGAGTGATTAGTGATGAAGGAGACTTTCTCAGAATCACAAAGAATAATTTTACCCCGTTCTACCAGCCTTTAATCCATTGTGTCAACTGGTTACACAGACTTGTCTTTCCCAATGGAGGACATTGGAAGAAGTTGAATTCCAATCTACCTCAGAACATGATTGAAGAACTTGAACGTGCACAGAAGGATCCAGGCATTGCAGACAACCAATAAAAACAGTGCTTGCAGATCATGCAAGAGTTGGAACATCTAGATTGAAAGATCTGACCTGCCTGCCACAGTTGTTGCCACAATATTCAGGATCTGGCCTGGGTTTGCACCAGCTAAATGGGAAGACATCTGTTTACAATGCCCAGCAGAGCCAGTGCCAGAGAAGTCTGAAAAGGGCACCTATTTTCCTGAACAGCAGGCTTCATGCACTCTGGGTAAAGTTCTGGCAGATGTATGCGGAATTGCGAATATCAATGGGTTATCTTGAAAGAAAACACCAAAGAAAGCCAAACATGGGGCTTGCTGACAGCATCAGCATGCCACTCAGATTCCTTTTTCCTGCTTGAGGCCATGTTCGTCGCAAGTTTTTCTATTACTTTTATTCTCTTTGCTAATTATTCAGAAGGAAGCAACAAGATGGTAGACTGCATATTTTATTAGCACTAATATATGTCTATATAATCTGGCTTTGATTCACATCCATGAACATGTCATCCATGGTTGTCCTGTAGAAGTTGATGCCTCCTAGTTCCATAAATTTTCTCCCAAGCTCATGAGATCTGACATAGATCAACAACAGTGGTACAAGATCTATTTTGGCCAGCCAGATGGAGCAAAGCTTGCCCGGAAGGATAGGGTGCACTAAATGCAGTGGAGCATTGAGGACTGTATAAGAATGAACTTGCTTTCTGAAGAAGTCCCTAGCTCCAACTATGATAGCAACCTAAGTCTTGAACCTGTGGTGGATGTTTACATTTTCGGCCCCTGTCTGGCCGTGTGTCTTGTTATGTCCATGTGTGGGCGCTGTTTATCAAGGGTTACCAACCACAATAAACAGGATATTAAATAGATAGATTACTTTTCCATATTGATATAGATCTTGCTATGATATAGTCTGAAATCCAACACCAGTACCGGGCCGACCAAATGTGGTGGCTCCCAGAAATTAGGTTTTTAGACAGTGTACCCTGAAGGCATGAAGCTGTAAAGCCATCTGATTTGGAAGTGTCAACCTACAGAAGTTGCATCAACAATCATTCAGGTGTGCAGATCAGAAGTGTCTCAGAACATCAGCATATCTGGTGTACTTCTTTCAGCATTGGAAGCACACCTCTGGCTTTGGGGCATCCTGTATGTGCTCCACAAGCACCCAAGATTTGTCATCCCTGGTCAGAGCTGAAGAAGGGCATTCCTGCAAGATCTTTATTTCTCCATCCAGACCAGAAGCATTACCATCCAGTGCTTTTCACAGCAAGTGTCCTCAAAGAGGCCCGCCCTCAGTAAAGTCACAGTACTGCCTCACAGCCTCTACTGCTTTATTGCACCATTGCCATTTGTCATCCAGGAAGTCAGACATAAGCACACTCATAAGACACTCAAGGAGATACATTTGTTCTGGCAGAATATCAAACACTCTGTCAGCAGGCTGTTGAGCAGGCTCAGTGTGAATCACAGTTCCAGATAGCTGGTGCTCAATATCAACCACCACCTGCTTCTGGCTAAAACCTTGACACACCTTATTTCTTAGTTTATAGTGCAGCCTCTGTCAGGTGTTGATGATGTTCTGCTTGAGATTACTGATAACAAGCTGCAGTGCTGGGTCACCAGTCCAGGCCAGCATTTCTTGTGTCTTCTGATGGGTACAAATAAGGGCCTGCAGCTCAGGCATCTGCTCCATCAAGTCTTTTTCTGCAGCAGTAAGATGCTGTGGTTGCTGTTGGTCACACAATCAATTCTGTCTGATCAACACCTGCTCCCACTCCTGGTCTGGGTCAAGTCCACACATGACTTCCTGCAGGTTAGCATGGTGCTGGATCTGATAGTGTTTGATGAATGTGTTTATCAAGACATGATTCATGATTACATTCATCTGTGCACTGCTGACAAACCCTGCACCCAGCAAGTTAGCATCCTCTGTAAAAGATGATTCATGAAATTCACAGCTTACCACTCTTGTCAAGCAACTTGCCCCCACCATGCCAGAACTGGTGGGTGTAGAATGGGTTGAGCCATCCATGGATCTCACTTGTGATCTTCAGATTCAAGCCAAGTGTCATGGGTGTGTCGCGCAGGATGCAAATCTGGCCCCCCATGACCACCACCTTGAGGAAGAGATACCACTTGTCCATCTTCTGGCAGCCAGCTGTGGGGAGTAGCTGTCACACATCATCCATTGTCTTTAGAGTTGGATTCTCAAAGGCCTCAGCATGGAATAGAAAGCCAAAGAGGAAGACATGTGGGCTGAAAACAAGAGAGATCCCATAAATAATCTCTGGTAGAATGAATGTGTTGCTGCTCCTGAGGTTATCATCCTGCAGGAAAGATTTAAAGCAACCAGCAGCTAATGAACCATTGTACATGTCCAATCAGAGTGGGGTTTTGGGGGGAGTCACTTACAGCTTTTTCATGCCAAACTTATTCTTGATATAAGTTGGTGTGAAGTCAACTGTTGGTACTGGCAGCCCTCTATATGGATTTCACTGCACCAACAGTTTAAGATCTTTATACTGGATCTTGAGGATAGCATTCTTCCAGTTGACTGTAAAGAGACCCAGCATGTT